CATCACCTTTGGACTGGTTCTGGGGACAGGTGAGGGGACAGGTGAGGGGACACGGGACAGGTGAGGGGACAGGAGCTGCAACACCAGCGTGTCACCCTTGTACTGGTTCTGGGGACAGGTGAGAGAACAAAGATGGGGACAGGTAAGGGGACAAGGGACGATGTGATTGGCAGACGAGGTGACAGACACACAAAGCGACAGCCAGGTGATGGAACGGACAGGTAAGGTGACACCGGGTGACGTCACATAGGCGAGATAACACACAGGTGATGTCACACACACAGGCGAGATAACACATAGGTAAGGTAACACAGGTGATGTCACACAGATGATGTCACACACACAAGTAATGCCACACACACAGGTAATGTCCCACCCAGGTAAGGTCACACAGGTGACACCCAGGTGAGCTCCCACCTGCCTTGCTCACCTTGATGGTGTCGTAGGAGCCGGTGATGAGGGCGATGAAGAGGCTGAGCACCATGTAGATGAAGAGGGCGCTGAAGCTGTACAGGTACACCTGGCTGAAGAGCCACACCAGGGCCCCGCTGGGCCGCAGAGCCACGAAGGTGGCAAACATGTCATCGCCATTGACCAGGGAAAAGAGACACTCGGACACCATGGACAGCGAGCGGAACTGGGGACAGCACACCTGTGTCACCTGTGTGTCACCTGTCACACCTGTGTCACCTGTATGTCACCTGTGTGTCACCTGTGTGTCACCTGTGTCACCTGTGTGTCACCTGTGTGTCACCTGTGTGTCACCTGTGTCACCTGTGTCACCTGTCACACCTGTGTGTCACCTGTGTCACCTGTGTCACCTGTGTCACCTGTGTGTCACCTATCACACCTGTGTGTCACCTGTGTGTCACCTGTCACACCTGTAACCCCACATTTCATCCATGGCTTTGTTAATCTCCCAAAAACCCCAAAACCCAGATTTGGAAATCCCCCACCCCCAAAACCCCAAAATTTGGGAATCCCCCAACCCCAAACTGGGAAA